TACCAACCACTATCCTTTTGCGCCCTTAGATATTGGGAGATGTCCTCCACCTTCTGCCATACCTCCAAAATACCTATTCATGCCCATAGATACTGACGTTTTATCTTAGCAACGCAAACGCGCCAAGATATCTAATGGCGAATCTTCCTCGAGATCGTTACAAGTCCGCGATGATAGCCCCTCCAATTCTTCCGACGACGCCAGCGATGATGACGGTAATAATAATGACGATGAAGACGATGAAGAAATGACAGCTCCGCCTGGAACTCAGTACGAAATACTTCGCGATGCTGGTTTTAAACATTTGGAACACACCGAACACGATGATTACATTGCTACTCAGCAACTTCTTGCCAAAAATCAGACCCCTCGCACCAATCGCGCTGCCGAGAATTCCATCATCGAAGAAATTCAGTGTGTGAACTTCATGAACCATAAAAATCTTAAAGTTCCCCTAGGTCCACTTATCAATTTCGTCGTTGGGGAAAATGGGGCTGGGAAGAGTGCAGTTTTGACGGGCATCACACTCTGCCTAGGAGGAAAGCCTAGTGCGACGAATCGTGGAAGCAGTATGAAAAGCTTAATCAAGACAGGAACCGATCGGGGAATGCTTCTCGTCAGATTGAAAAATGAGGGTTCCGACGCCTATCGGCCAGAATTATACGGAAAGTCGATTATCATTGAACGTCATTTCTCGGGCAGTGGTAGCACTTATAAAGTGAAGAACGCAGCTGGTGGGTTTGTAACCAGTAAGAAGGGTGATATGGATGATATAGTGGAGTATTTCCAGCTTCAAGTTGACAACCCAATGAATGTTCTTACTCAAGATGAGGCGAAAACCTTCATTACGTCTTCTACCCCAGCCCAGAAGTTCGACTTTTTCAGGAAGGGCGTACAACTCGAACAACTTGACAATGACTACAAGCTTGTTTCCGAGAGTTGTGATCAGATCGAAGTTCTTCTTGATGAAAGCATGGGTGATCTTGAGGCATTGGAAAAACAGGCCGAGGATGCAGAGGCAAAGAAGAAGATTTATGATCAGCATCAAGACATGAGAATTGAGAAGAGAGTCCTCAGAAACCAGTTGACATGGTTTCAAGTTGACGAGCAAGAAAGCGAACTAGAGGAGCGCAAAAGGACAGTTGTGGAAATACAACGAAAGATTGAGGAAAAGGAGAAGATTGTAGATGAGAAAGACCGAGCATATCAGACACTTCATGCTTCAGTTGAGCGAGCTTCCGAAAAGGCAAGAATTCTTGGAGAGGAGCTTGTCCCTATCAAAGACGAAGAGCAAGAAGCCAAGTCGAAGGCTGAAGAGGCAGACTCGGAGGTTAAAAAGCTCCACCAGGAACACAAGGAGAGTAAGCTAGAACTCGAAACAGCAAAGCAAAAAGCTCGAACCATACAAGGGGAAATCGATGCCGAGCAGAAGCGTATTGAGGATGCCAATGGTGGATCTCTCAATCGAAAATCCACAGAGATCGAATCTGCTAAGGCGGAAGCTTCGCAGGCGAGAGCTGAATTTGAGAGGAGCCATGGAGAAATGCAAGAACTAGTAGAAAGTAGTCAATCTGCTAAAACTGCACTTGAAAAAGAGCAAGGGCCCTTGGCTGCGAAGAGAAAGGAAGTGGAGAACTGCAGGAACAGACTAAGAGAAATGCAGAACGAACGCCCGGATCCACTGCGCAGTTTTGACCAGAAAATGCCTGAGCTACTTCGGAGAATAGAGCAAGATCGAGGATTCAATCAGAAACCTGTTGGTCCTATTGGTCTCCACGTTAAACTCCGCGATCCTAAATGGTCCGATATTCTCGAGGTGACTTTTGGCAACACCTTGAATAGTTTCGCCGTTACCAACAAAGCAGACCAGATCAGGCTACAGAAAATGATCTCCTCCATGGGTATACTTCGAACTCAAATTTACATCACGAATCCCAAACCCATTGACACCACAAACAACGAGCCTGATCAGCACTTCATGACCATTTTAAGAATGCTGGATATTGATAGTGAAATTGTGAGGAATACATTGATCATAAACCAAGCAATAGATCAGGTATTACTGATAGATGACTTAGAAGATGCAATACGCATCATGGAGCCAAGGTCTATGCCTACGCATGTCAGACATTGCTTTACTCTCAATCCACAAAGAAGAGGCTGGGGTATTCGCCTGTATTGCAATGGCCCCAACTATCAAAATAGTGCACAGGACTATGTGTCACCCTACCGGTTCAAAGCTCGTATGAATACAGATGGTGAGCGCCGGATTGTCTTGCAACAGGAAACATTGAAACACTGCCAAGCTGAAGAGTCGAGGCTTGCAAACAATTGCCGTACAGCTCAACAGCATGTTCAAGAGGCAGACAGGGCGATCCAACAGCACAAGGTTGCCCAAGGCAGATTAAAGATTCGCTTACAAAAGGCCGAAGAACGTGTTGAATCATTAGAAAATGAATATAACAACCTTAACATTGAGGATGGCTATCTGGATTCCCTCAAAGCACAACTGGAGGAAGCGAATGACAATGTTACGCATTACGAAAATGCTTATGGCGCTACTACTCTTGCAAGGACTGAGTACAATACAACGTCTCTTAGCTGTAAAAATGCCTATAGAGCCGCCAAAAAACGTGTTGAAAGTCATGAGAAATTGATTGCCGACGCAAATCAGAAGGTCAAAGCTAAAGAACAGGCACGCGCTATAGCACTTGGGGATAAGAATGCTGCTATTGCGCAAGTTGGGGTCTATAAGGATTACGAACGAGAAGCCGAAACCAAGCTCGCAGATACGGAAACTCGAGTGAGAGAATACATTGAAGCGGCAACGCAGATATGTGCCAGAATTCCGGTACCGCCACATGAGACCAGAGCTAGTCTTGAAGCGAAGTACAAGAGTATTACGGATCAATTAAGTCAGTATAGCAGAAAGCTGGGGGTCACAGAGCAAGAAATTATTGATGGCTATGCAAAGGCTCATGAGCTCCTGAAGAGCTTCAAATCACGCCGTAAACACATGGAAGAATTGCTGCGACTACTTAAGTATTCTTTCTCTCTCCGCATGAAGCAATACCGCAGTTTCCAGAGACACATTTCTGCCAGATCTCGTATCAACTTCAACTATCTGCTGAGTGAGAGAGCTTTCAGGGGAAAACTTGAGATTGATCACAAGAACAGATTACTGGATGTCCATGTCGAACCTGACGAGACAAGTAATAATAAGAAGGGTCGACAAACCAAGACACTTTCGGGAGGAGAAAAATCATTTTCGTCTATCTGTCTACTTCTCTCTCTCTGGGAAGCTATGGGCGCCCCTCTTCGCTGTTTGGACGAGTTCGACGTTTTCATGGATGATGTTAATCGGGATGTGAGCACTAAGATGATTGTAAGTTACAATAAGCTCTACTCACAAATTTCTGATATGCTAATGAGTCGATAGATCAGCGCTGCTCGACGCGCCGTTGGTAGACAATTTATCTTGATCACACCCAAAGCCTTGGGAGCTGGTATTGACAACAATCCTGATGTGGCAATCCACAAGTAAGTCACTCAATTGCTAGTCTTATGCCCATATCGTCCTACTAACATATAACAGACTTGCAGCTCCGAGAGACAGATTACAGAAATCTATTCCCGAGACGATAAATCCCGCTTAGCCGAATTTTACTGTAATTTACTTGACGTTTAAGGGGCGTTGGGGACTTGTAAAATCACAGTGGGGGAATGTTTGATGCTGTGTCTTACGAAGATATGGCGTTATGGTGTTCACTGGTCCTCGAGTCCAGGTATGGTATTGCCCATTTGGCTGCTATGGGCGACAATTTTGATGTCAAAATAACATGAATCTGAATACATGACCTTTTATTGATCTTTCTATTCCTTCCTGCCATTCCCTTTATGCTACGTGAACATCAAAATCCATTCGTCTATCTCATACAAATCATCCACTAAATCCTCACCCCCTTACTCCTCAAAACATTAACTCCCGCCATCGCCGTGAAACCCACCCATTGACTAATCCCCCAACAACTCCTCCAAGCACTTGTGAATCCCTAAATCTCCTCTCCAAGAACTCTCGGGTATCTTTAAACCCCTCGGATTTATCCGTCGTCATGTATAATTCGGTAGCAGCGTAAATAGTGGAAAGACTGGCTCGCTTGGTATACCAGGAACTGTCGACTGAAATGTCGCCGGATAGAAACCAGATCTCGTCGGAGAGGGAATGTAGTTCGCGGAGAGAGGTGGGGAGATTGGTTGGTAGGGTAAGGAGACTTTGAGCCTGGGAGGGGTGTTAATTGGGGTGTCGATATATGTGGAGTTTTGAATGGTATTCAGAAGAGGGGAATTGTGAAGGTATTTTGGAGGTGGTTTTTAGTTTCTTATGGAATGTAACAACAAAAGTCTGAGCTAGAATTTACGAACCTCCTGCCATTTATGAATCACATCTTTGTTTCCCATCAATCTCTCCCACGTCAATGCCTTGACTCTCCTCCCCACTCCCTTTGGTGGTTCCTTTCCTTCATTTTCTAGAGGTGGAGCAATGAGTTCTGTGTGATTCTTCAAAGCTATTCTTTGGGTATACAAATGGTAATGTGCTAGACTAAATGCCCCTTTAGGAAAAAGATTTGTGGCGGCAGGTATATAACCGACATCTTGGGCGCCGAGCGAAAGGGTATCAAGAGTGAAGCCGTGAGTAGGGATGTGCGGAAGGGAGGCGCGGAGAATACTTGTTTCGGTGGGTGGAAAGGGAGAATCTGAGGGAGAGGGGCGGTCGTATGAATGATAGGATTTGGCGGAGAGAGAATTCGGAATTGCGCGATTGTATTGTTTGGTGAGAGGCCGTAGATGGCGGGGTAGTACTCTAATTGTGGAAAACGACATGTTTGGGAGGTGGTTTGTGAGGATAAATTTTGGTGGTGTTAATAGTAGAAGATTTTCTAATTCGATACCTTTCAAGGTTCAGCTTGGGCCAATGGTTGCCCGTCCCGCGGGATATCCCGTTAGGCTCGTTTTTTTGCGAGCTCTACTTGGAGTAAGCTCGAGGTAAGCCTCCCTTTTGCTTTTTCAACCGCAGAGCCTCGTTTATGAAGAACTTTGGCCGTCATCCATAAGCGGATGAAGCAATTGTTGGTTAAGTTCGCCGTTCTTTTCGTATTGGTCTCCTTCTTTGGTGCAAATGCCCTTGTAAGGTCACCTTTGATCCACTTTTCTATATGCAGTAAGAAATGTTACTTACCTCTCACAGCATGTATGTCATGTTTTTGTTGGTGTCTTTCTCGTCACACTTTTCGTTACCCCTGGTATGAATGTTTATTATCTGCGCGACGTCCCATTCGATGTGGATAGACTCGGTCGAAAACACATTGCGGCAGGCAATGTGGGCCTTCCCCTAGGGATGCAACGGCAACATTGTATTGCATGAAACTTTTGGTCTTATTCTGCAAGATACGAACGGGCACATGTGTACATATAATTGTACATATCAGGGGAAATGGACCTATCTCTATATTCTGGTCTTGTTCTTTCAGGCCAGAGGAGCTGAAATCGGGCTTGGAAATTACACTTCGTGGTTGAGGCATTGTCTCGTGGACATATCAACTTGATTCTGTCGTGCTACGGGGAAGAGCTTCCGTCCGGCAAGCCAGTTAAGCCCAGGTATTGTTGCAGATTTCAGCTGCAGGTCATCAATTTTTGGGAATCACCATATCATTGGCGTTTAGGCCCTCCGATTCAACGTTTCTTCCATAGTGCTAATAAGCATGCATGGGGTTGTTCAAACCCCCAACAAGTGGGTAGGACATGTTTTCGTTCACCTTGCTCATACGTTAATTGATGTATTGAAGCGTGTTTCATGAAGAAGTTCGCCGAGAGTCATAGCTCGTGGCAATATTGCATTTGCATTTGCGTTTCCATTTCTTTAGCTTTGTTCAATTGGATAAAAAGGACTGAGATCGCACATAATGTGTGAGAGATCCTAGGTGTAGATCGAATGAAAGGTACCTATTGGTGGATACGCACTCCCAGTTCAAAAGACTTCATTGGTGATCTGAAAGGAGGTTTGAGCTTCCTTATTCGATAAATTTGAACCAGACTTGATCGAGCCAATCTTCTCCGGAGTTCGTAGACTAAACTATTTTTGTGACTTGTGCGGGGGTCTGTATGTGCGGTGCCTATTAGAGAGATGTAAGTTTTGTAGAAGATTATTGAACTTCAAGATCTGTAATGGCCATTAGGTAAAATGAATCCAGGCGAGGTGATCCTAGAGATTCTTTAACCTGAACCAAATTGAGTAGCATGCGATGAATATCAGTCTGAATAATAGAAATAACTAATATGTCCAATTGAGACGGTGAGTTGAGAGGAGTAAGTTATGGGTCCACTGTATCATATATACATGACTACTCGCGCCGTACAATGAGAATGACCAAGAAGCACATATAATTCATGTTGACTCTAGGGTCATCCGTTGATTATACTTTGATGGAGCCCACGGCTCCGCGTTGTAGTCCGGAAATTTCGCTAAACGCTGGAGGAGTGAAGGGGCCCATAACCAAAGATAGACATTGAAGGTGTGGAGAACAAGTGGTTCGCATGATTATACTCCATACGTCGAGCTCTCTCTTTTTCAACTAGCAAAACAGCGAATCCAACGATATCGTACCTGAAAGTCCGCAGTACTATAAAAGCATGCCCAAGTGTAATCAATGCATGAGCGTGTGCCAAGATGTCTTCGTATGCTGCCATATCTAGAAGGAATTGACCAACAGAGGATGAAGATGAGTATAATATACAGTTAGCAACATTATGTATGTATGGAGGATGAGTAAGGGAATGTACGGTAGGATGTAAGAAAATGCTTCACTTGAGATAGTAGATTTCAGAAATAGAAATAGATACATATAATCATTTGTGATAATCATCAATGTCTAATTACTAATATCGCACCTACCAGTTACCGCATTGGGCTATTATTTCCTATTTAAGAGTGATGATTAATGGATTATGTCTCAGCTGAAGCCAAAAATTGATAGAGAGGTAACTGCCGGTTATCAACCGAAAAGGTAACAGTTCCTGCGCGCTACCTAGCTATTTTTCTCCAACTCCTCATTACATCGCGTCTTCAATAGGCACTCACACCTTACACCTTACACCCATCATCAAAACATCCACCACCCACCACCCACCACCCAACTCCCCCATCCATACAGATTTGAACCACACCATCTTTCATCTGTATTACCTCAAGGAGTAGTACACCCTTGTGAGCCATCTAGTCGGGTAAGGAAAATATAGAAATTTAAATCAAATTTTCTGTATCTCATCCTTTCCAACCCAACTATTGGTCAAAGCAACAACCAGGTAAGCTCTCACTTATGGCTCAGATGTCATTCATTCCCAACCCACCCCCCAAGACATCCTCAAGTCTTGTTCTCCCAATCCATTCATCAGCTATTCTTCGAGCTTTGTCACCGCAGAAAGGACGCGTTCCAAATAGGCAGATCCAACCCTTGACATTCATCCACCATCTTTTTTTGGTAACGCCCTTGTTGACGAACATTGCCGCAGGAAAAAAAAACAGACGCTGTGCCATACTGCCCTTGTTGAAGTTCTTCTTCCTTACGGGTCCCTATAAGCCGCATCGAATATTCTTCACGGAGCTTCACTGGTTCAACTCACTTACCGATTTCGATCAATTAAACGCAACGTTTAATTCGCCCTTACTTAGTCCATAGAATCCTTGTGCGCAGTCACTTAGGAGTCCATTTCGTCTCCAACCTGCAGGTTAGAGCATTAAGCAGCAGCAGCCTCCTGATTCTACTTATCACCTTAATACTTCACTCACAATAGATACAATGGGTATGTTCCCCAATACCCTCCCCTCCATTCCCAATTAGTCCATTCACCTTCTTTCTTATTCACTTTATCTGGTCTTGTTTATTCACGTCATTGAAACCTTCTTACCTTCGACTCTTCCTTGACCTTTACACAAACCACCCCACCTCAATCTTGCTTCCTTCAGAACATTTTATTAACAATCTATTATTTGATCTAGCGGACGACTCTTACCGACCACAAGTATGTTCAATTTCTTCTATCTCCTCAATCATTTCAGTATAGCATTGCGCGAACCTGAGCGTCAGCAATATCAGGCACTCTCGAAAGCCTTATGAGTCTTCGGCTTATGGCATCTCATTTCCAGGCGCAAACTAGTCGTGAGATCCCGTTGATCGCAACGCGCCAGTGCGCTTCTGTGGGAACCTTTCCTAATTGATGGCATAAGAACCTTGATGGTCTAACCCACACACAAAAATTCTCTCACAACACAGATTCCTTCATTGTCTTTTGTCTATCTAATGGTCAAAGAAGCTCACGTTTCACAGAGAGAGAGATCTCGTTCACCTCGTCGACAACGCTCTCGCAGTCCAGGACGCACTCAACGTCGTCGTTCATATTCTCCTCGCAGTCGCTCACGCAGCCGTGACGAACATCGCAGAAACGATCGCAGATCTCGATCCCCAATGTCGGGTGCTGCAGGTGTAGGTGGTTCTGGGGGATCAGCTTACGGTGGACAACCACATAGGACATACGAAGAGAGAGCTGCGGCCAGAGAGCAAATGATGAGCACTCTACGTGAATCATCGCAACAAGACCGTCGTGTCTACGTCGGCAACTTGTCATACGATGTTAAGTGGCATCATCTTAAAGACTTTATGAGATCTGGTCAGTGTTCGATAATGGAGGTTGGAGTTGGGGATATGGGCTAACCAGGGGTTTGATTTCTTTAGCTGGAGAGGTCCTCTTTGCTGATGTGTTATTGCTTCCTAATGGAATGTCGAAGGTGGGCGCCTATACGTGATTGGCTTTGAATCTTTTCTTTTTCTCTTGGATTTTGATGGAATGTTGGATTGACGGATTGGGACGTTGTTCCGCGGGTATTGTAGGGATGCGGGTAAGTAACAATCTTGACTTGAATGATTTCAAATGCTAACTCGAAGTAGCATTGTAGAATATGCTACGAGGGAGCAAGCTCAGCAGGCAGTCAACACTCTGTCCAACCAGAACCTTATGGGAAGACTCGTTTACGTTCGAGAGGTAAGCATGCATTCTATGCCGTTTCAATTGTGCTTTCAACGTTTACTAATTTTTACAATAGGATCGTGAGGCCGAACCCCGATTCACTGGTACTCCATCTGGAGGCCGTGGCGGTTACGAAGGCGGCGGTCCACCAGGAGGTCGTGGTGGTTTCCAAGGTGGTTTCGGAGGTGGCATGGCCCCTGGAGGTGGAGCTGGAGGTGGAGGACGTCAAATTTACGTCTCCAACGTTTGTCCCCATCTATCTTTACCCTTTTCATAACTCTAGTGCCGAGAATATTAACTTAGCGATTTAGCTTCCCTACACCGTTGGATGGCAAGATCTGAAGGATCTATTCCGCGGCGCTGGTATGTTTCCCTTCTGCACTAACACAAATGTGATCAAGATGTTGATCAATACTGTATAGCCCGAAATGGTGCCGTCGTTCGCGCCGATGTTCATGTTGGTCCTGATGGACGTCCAAAGGGCTCTGGTATTGTTGCTTTCGAATCTCCCGATGACGCCCGCAACGCTATTCAGCAGTTCAATGGTTATGACTGGCAAGGCCGCCCTCTTGAGGTCCGCGAAGACCGCTTCGCTGGTGCTCAAGGATTTGGTGGTGCTCGTGGAGGATTTGGCGGTCGTGGAGGCTTCGGTGGCGGATTTGGAGGCCGTGGAGGCTTCGGAGGTGGCCGTGGCGGATTTGGCGGAGGATTCGGTGGAGGTCGTGGTGGATTTGGTGGAGGTTACGCCGGAGGTGCCGGTGGATTCGATGGTGGTGCTGGAGCTCCCGCAGCTGCACCCAACCCTTTCACCGACCACGCTACCGCTGGAACAGAGAGAAGTGAGATTATCTATGTTCGCAACGTAAGTAATATTCGACTCCTCTCATCTTTCTACAGACTAACGTAAAATCTAGCTTCCATGGTCCACTAGCAACGAGGATCTTGTCGAGCTGTTCACCACCATTGGCAAGGTCGAGCAAGCTGAGATCCAATATGAGCCTAATGGACGATCCCGTGGTACTGGTGTTGTTAGATTTGACTCGGCCGAGAATGCAGACACCGCCATTGAAAAATTCTCTGGCTACCAATACGGAGGTCGTCCTCTCGGCTTGAGCTTTGTCAAGTACCAAATCCCTGGTGGTGCCGGTGATGCTATGGAGACAGAAGTCACTCACCTCACACAAGATCAAATCATGTGAGCTCTGATCTAAGCACACAAACTGGTCCCGCACCTTACGACACCTTTCACCCATGTTACAACACACTTTTCTTTTTTCAAGCTCGATTTTCTTATGTGTACTCAAAGATCTAACACCCAAAAAGTCATCGGAGGCTGAGAATTCTCTCTGCATGGATGAATCCTTTCATTCATCCATCATGGAATTGCTCTACTATTTCGTTGCGAGTTTGGAGGTGAATATTCATGCGCATTGCTTTCTATGTTTTCTTTCATTCAAAAGTCTTCTCACAGAATGGATCTAATAGCAAGTACAATTTCATTAGACTCCTGATACTCATAGCAATACAAGTCTATTTTTGAGATAAACTTCCTTCCATGGATATGTGAGCGTGAATGCTATAAATCAACGTCATAGAGTGTATGCCAACCAAGCAATGCTAAAAGGACAAGATTGTCACCTTGTTGGTCTGAATAAACAATCACAAATACTCGGGAATAACACAATCACATGAGTCCTTCAAATTTATATTCGATGATGGTCGTGAATCATTAATCATCTCCTGTATCATATCTGATTATTCACTTTATCAAAAATGACTTTGATCTTGGTCATATTATATAGTTCTTGAAGTCTCCCCTCTTGATCTCTTCTAATCGTGAATGTACAACTAATACCAAATCCCGAAATTAACTTTTATTCTCCTTCAAGAACAATAACACATTGATAATAGAGACACAACGAGACTCACGACCACGATCACACTCATACAACTTCAGATATCATACTACAACGCTACAGCTCGCACATAATCATGTGTCTCATACGCCCTTTTCGATACACCTGCTGCGACCGAACCTACGTCGAAGTCTCAAAACTTGATAGCAGCTGTCCCGACGGATGGCCGCTAGAGAAATGTCCCGAAGATCTATGTCTTGTACATGGTTCCAGAGTCAGAGATCAACGGTGGTTGCTTCAGGGTACATGTTGGAGATGTCAAGCCATGAGTGAGGGGCTTGAAGGAGACGATTACGAAGCTAGAAGACCACCTATCGATAATGCGTTTGTGGTTGAGGGTCTAGAGAACTGTAGTCCAGAAGGACGACGAAGAAGAGCTGAACATGCTGGAAACTGTTGGTTTTGTGGTGCCAGCAGCGATGGAGTCAGGGACTGCGAATCATGTGACGGAACGGGATGTGCACGCAAGGGCAAGAATAAAGCTGTCGAAGATGTATCTGAATGCCCTGTTAAGAAGAAGCGTCACACAATTGCTACTGTTGCCGGAGGAGGCATTTCCAAGCCTAGAAGAGGTAGACCACCTGGAGGCGGCAAGAAGAAGAAATTGGCAGCAATCAAAGAAGAGGGCCAAATGAATCTAATCTCGTCTTTCATGGAAGGCAATAACGCATACCAGCAAGGAGAGTTCCGTCCCGACATTCCAGAATCCTCATACAACAACTATTCTTGGCAATCCGCTGAACAGCATGGAGACCCTAGCTTACCTAGTTACGGCATGGCTATTGACGACGACCCCTATGCAGGACAATCCCATGGTATGCCTGTATTCACAGATCGGGCGCCCCTCCACCAATACGGTACCATGGCAGATTACGAAGTGAATCCGCAACAAGTAGAGCGCTCCACAATGGGTAATCAAGATCATCTCCAGTCCTCCATTGAATTTGATCACGAGGGATCACATAGTGAATTCAATACTGGCGACGGCGGTGAAGGAGTAAGGTCCGATAGTTTAGACACTTCTGAGGTACGTTAACATGACCCATATATGAAGAGGAATGAGCTAACAGGCTCTGAATAGAATCAGTTTGCCTTTTCAAGTGGCTTGCATCACAGTCATGATGTTGCCTTTTTGACTCATAATGACTGGCCCGAATATGCGGATAGTTTGACATTTTCTCCTTTAAAGGAGTCAAACAATGATTTCGCACCGATTCATGATACGGGTATGCAATCCGCAGGCCCGGTTGCACAGGCTGCTCAAATGACGGTCGATCGGTTCACTCCTCAACCACGTTATTTGCCTAGTCCCACTCTCTCAGAAGCTCATATTGCTCAGCATGCTCCTCCTAACAATTTCACGGCAACCTCAACCTCAACTCCGGCTTCGAATTCCGCTGTAGCAGGCAATACATCTGCTAATGCTTCTCTTCCTATTTCACGTATCGCTACTCCTCCTTAGAGGATTACTATTATTAACCGGCAATATGTACTTACGACATACTTACAAATAGACCTATATCTATACGTTCCAGAGTTCAGGACAACTTTGTGTTTTTGCTACATTTATAACCTGATCTAGATACCCTTCTTTTCTTCTGCCTGTTACTATCCTTCTCACTCTTTCTCTTCTCCTCTTTTTTCCTTTGTTTTCCTAGGCATGGAGATTTTCAAGTGTTTCTTTTTCTCTCGTTCATAGAATTTGGTGGCGAGTGAGTGGCTCACATAGACATGGAATTTGTGACGTTGACATAGATTGGGATGGATTTGTACTATAAGAAGATTTCCTATACCAATGGATTAGTAGATGGCGTGTTAGCTCATGAGTTGAAAGTGGCAGGCGTGGCAAGGGGCAGCTTAGAAGTCAGTGGGCTTGTTCATATATGGAAAGGGAAATATGTTGGTGGAAACAAATGGATTGTTCATATGTGGAATGGGATATATGCTGGTGGTCTGATTTGTAAATATTCACAGGCCGAGGAAGGGATATCATTACCTGTATATTCATCAATGAACATATAACACGTAAAAGACGGTTCCAGAATACAAGATGTGATAAGTAGTCGTGATTTTAACATAAAGGTGTGTGTAAGAGGATGGCCAAATATTAAATAAATGGTTGAATTTAATCCTTGAATAGAGGCTCGACAACTTGGCAAACGCTTCACATGCCCTTTTGGCATTAGATTAGTATGTACTCTTATGTACCAATCCACGAAGGCCAAAGTAGCAATCCCATATATGCGACGCCATGCTGTGATATCAACAACAAAATATCCACCCCCTTAATCATGCTGTTCGGCTACTTCTCCGGGGATATCGACGTCCAGTTCAGGACACTTTATTCATCCACCATAAAATAACTTCGATTCTTTCACTTCTTCTCGTCTCCTGGAGCAACAGCAGAAGTGGTGCCTATCTTTCTTTTCTTTGCCTTAAGCTTCTCTTTTGCTTTACTTCTATCTCTCTTCTTCAGCGCACTCATGCCACCCTTACATATTTCTGCATATCTAGCGAAGAAGGAATCTAATTGATCTGGCTGGACGACGGTGGACAGTTTTGTCTTTTCTGAACGTTTAGATTTGCCTTTGCCATTTGTGGCGCGAATGAGAAGTGGCATAGGGGCATCGCGTGAAAGGTCTGGGAATTGAGCAGTGAGGACATCGTTGAGAGCATTCATATCGACATCGTCGCCGGGAGGTAGCGCCGCGGTTGTGGAAACATCGGAGGCCGAGTCATAGCTATCTATTATGGCAGTCAGAAACCTATCCATAGAAGTCTGGAAAGGCTCCTCCGTTGCAGGAGCATATGGGTATTGAGACACTTACAACGTTTCTGTGTCAAGAAAACAGAACCATGATCTTTTTCCCGTCGAGAATCAAAAAGAGGAGCGAGTTTCGAGAAGAACTATTTGCGCAAAAGAATTACTAATTGCCCAAGGCTATATGAGTAGTAATAGAAACATACCTCATCATTACTTAAATGCGACACCATAGTGTAAACTGCTGTTGTAATGCTGTTTTTAAGCTGTGATTAATGATTGTGGGGGTGATGAAATGTGTGGGGTTCTGGACCAGGCTAAAGCAAGGCTGAAGCATTTCGTCAAGGCTACGGCAGGAAAAAAATGTTTGGATAAACCTCAAAATTTCTTATCGGTATCTGAAGACTATCGGATATTTTTTGCCTTTTAAAACAAAACTTATTGAATTTGTAATTAAGCTGCAATTGTTGACTCGGGAGTTGTAGCATTGATTAGTGATTCATATAGAGTCTGTTATTTATTACAGTATTTCACAAATATGGCACCGCCAAAATCTACAGCTCCAAAGCTACCCAGTAGTCTTCTTCAGCAACTGGGAATCGAAGGTGAATACTAGCCATTGACAACTCATTCCCATATGCTTACAATTTTGTGTAGATGGTGGTGGAAATGGAGGTCGAGGGCGCAAACGTCTCGGGCGTAAAGAAATGCGCAAAGCAGAAAGACAAGAGAAGAAGCAGAGTAGATCCCAGTCCTCTAGGCCTCCTCCGCAAAAGCGATTAAAGTCACAACATTCCAAGCATAATCATGCCGACAGTAATGAAGAGGAAGATGAAGATATTGAACCGTTGAACGCGAAGGTCATCCCAGAAACAAAACAAGACGATAGCCAAAAACCGAAATCCATATTGAAAACGACGAAGAAAGCAGACCCCAAACCAGCGAAAGCACCTGTTAAGGATGACGCGAACACCGAATCAAGGATAGGAAAGAATGTTTCGAGGGCTGTTAAGGATAAATTGGCAGAAGATGACGATGAGATCGCCGCTCTGGAGAAGAAATTGGGATTGAAAGGGAAGAAGAAAGGTCTACCAAAATCATTCCAAGAGGATGGGTTAGATGATCTTCTAGGCGATCTGGATGCCTTAGATGAGAGCGAAGACGAGGAAGTACAGGAAAAGAAAAAAGGAAAAGCGGAGGCAAATGACTGGCTTCAGCGCAAGAGAGCAGAAGCCCGAAAGCGAGCAAGGGGCAATGAAAGTTCTGAGGACGAAGAAGAGGATGAAGACGACGAGATGATGGACGATGACGACGACGAAGCGTCTGATATGTCAATGGATGAAGGTGATTTCTCGGGCGGCGATTCAGGTGACGACGAGAGTGATCTTGGAGATGAGGATACGGCTGAGGACGACTTCGAAGGTTTTGGTTCGGGGAGTGATGAAGACGCTCCCCCGAAGCCAAAAGTCCGTGAAAACCCGTACGTGGCACCTGTTTCTGCAACTGCAGCATCCTCTGGAAAATATATCCCACCTTCATTACGAAAAGCATCTTCTTCAGATTCTGAAGATTTAGTGCGTCTGCGGCGACAAACTCAAGGTCTGGTCAATAGGTTGACAGAAGCCAATCTAATATCCCTCCTTGGAGACATAGAAAAATTGTATCGGACCAATCCCCGTCAACACATGACTTCCACCCTCATCGATCTGCTCCTGACATCTGTTTGCGAACCAACGACTTTGCCCGACACTCTTATAATCCTCCCCGCCGGATTTATTGCCGCAGTATACAAGATTATTGGTACCGATTTCGGTGCTCAGGTGGTTCAAAGAATAGTTGAACTGTTTGACGAACACTATGCGCGTATAGTATCACTAAATCAAGAATCCTCGACATCCGTTCCCGATAGCAAGGAAACTACCAACCTGATAGCTTTACTTTCAGAATTGTATAACTTTCAAGTAGTAGGTAGCAGCCTCATTTTCGATTACATCAAGCTGTTTTTAGATACACTATCGGAACAGAATGCCGAGCTTCTTTTAAAGATTGTGCGCATCTCAGGTCCTCAACTACGACAAGACGACCCTTCAGCACTAAAAGACATTGTTACTATGCTTCGACCTGCCGTCCAAAAAGCTGGTGGCGAAGATAAATTGTCCGTGAGGACAAAGTTCATGATTGAAACCATCAATGATCTCAAAAACAACAAAATGAAAACTGGTGCTGTTGCTTCCGCTGTCACCTCAGAGCATACAATTCGAATGAAAAAAACACTAGGAACATTAAATACCCGAAGTATAAAAGCCAGCGAACCCCTGCGCATTGGTCTAAAAGACATTAGAGATTCGGATAAAAAGGGGAAATGGTGGTTGGTTGGTGCGAGTTGGGCAGGTAATGCCGAAGACGAGGAAGAGTCCACATCAAAGGTCAAAAGCACCAGAGAAGTTAAAGACGTAGATGCAGGGACCTCTGATCTCGTTCAACTTGCCAGAGAGCAACGCATGAACACGGATATCCGCCGAGCTGTATTCATCACCATTATGTCCGCCTCAGATTATCAAGACGCATATCTACGATTGATGAAGTTAAAACTAAAAAAGGTACAGGAACTTGAGATACCGAAAGTCTTGATACAATGTTCCGGCGCAGAAAAAATGTACAACCCGTACTACACTTTGATAGCAAAGAGATTATGTGGTGATAGAAAGCTCAAGATGGCCTTCCAATTCAGTTTGTGGGATCTTTTCAAGAAAATGGGCGAAACAAATGACGACGATGATGAAGATTTTGAAGAGGATATCGAGCTGGATACGAGGCACATTGTCAATCTGGCTAAGATGTTTGGTACGTTGATGGCAGAAGGTGGACTTGGACTTAACGTTCTCAAGAATCTAAATCTCAGCTATCTACAAGCTAAGACGAAAACTTTCTGTGAGGTTCTTTTTATCACTATTATTCTTCAAACTCAGAAAGCATCCAAAGAGAACCGAGATGCGAAAGCAATTGCAAATCTGTTCTCGAGGGTGAAGGAAACGCCTCAGATGATAACTGGGCTGCAATACTTCTTAAAGAAGGTAGTAGGCAAGACGGATATAGCAGGAGGAAAGGCTGAAAAGGATATCGTCAAATGGGGTTGTAAGGTCGCTGGAGATACACTTCAGGCATTACTTAATGCAGATACCCCCAGGTAGATAGTGGATAGCGATGTGCGATTAGTAGCTAGAAGATGGCATCCGTTATGAATTACTTTGCCCGTGCTTTCATATAACTAGTAGTGAGTGAAGACACGGGCTGCAACCTATGAAGATTGTATCCCTTAATTGTTTTGACCTTGGTTGATGTATATGTCAGTAGTGATTAACTAGTACTTTTATAAGCCGAAGCAACCCTTGCAAGTGCCAAATTGATTGTCTTTTTTGGGCTTCCTGGAGACTTCTAGCTTACACAATCAAGCGGCGCCGGGAACTCGCGGTTCTAAAAAGGGTTCTAAAGGATCCCCACGTGATTATCGGATCAATCCGCTTCGTCCGTCCGGTAACTAAACAAACGGCGGCGACCCTAAAACTTGTTGAATAACACAACAATACCCTTCATACAAAATGCTTCGCAGTTTATTAGTGCCCAGAGCGGCCGTCAGGTCTGCTTTCAGACAACAATCCTCGTAAGTGCAATGGCCGAACTTCAATTCCTGTTGAAAGTTTTCTGTACTAACTTTTTTCTCTTTTAGCAGTCTTCCCAAGATAGTTGCCCCTTCAGGAATTGCAAACTTATCGCGACGAGGATATGCCACTGAAGCTGGTCAGTAAATCCAGTCGATGTCACGGGGTGAAAACAACTGACATGTAGAAGAGGAGCAAGATTTGGTTATCATCGGAGGTGGTGTTGCAGGATATGTTGCCGCTATCAAAGCTGGTCAAGAGGGCATGAAAGTATGGTTTGCCTAACAGGAGGATTTTTTTTGCAGACTTTTAACATTGTCCGCAGGTAACATGTATAGAAAAACGTGGAACTCTTGGAGGAACATGTTTGAATGTCGGCTGTATTCCCTCGAAAGCTCTACTCAACAATTCGCATCTTTACCACCAAATTTTACATGACACCAAGGCTCGCGGTATCGAAGTCGGAGATGTCAAGCTTAACTTGCAACAAATGATGAAGTCGAAAGATACTGCAGTCGCTGGACTCACAAAGGGTGTTGAATTTTTGTTCAAGAAGAACAATGTTAAATATGTCAAGGGTACTGCTACATTTACTGGCGAGCACGAGGTCAAGGTCAACCTTTCTGAGGGCGGAGAAGAGACTATTATTGGAAAGAACATCCTTATCGCTACTGGTAGCGAAGCTACACCATTCCCAGGACTCGAGGTTGACGAGAAGAGAATCATCACCAGCACAGGAGCTATCGCGCTAGAGAACGTTCCAGAGAGCATGGTTGTTATTGGTGGAGGCATTATCGGTCTTGAGATGAGCTCTGTCTGGTCAAGACTTGGTACGAAGGTTACAGTTGTTGAGTTCTTACCTCAAATTGGTGGACCAGGAATGGATGCCGAAATCGCAAAATCATCGCAAAAGATCCTCAAAAAGCAAGGCATTGACTTCAAGCTCAACACTAAGGTCATGGGTGGTGATGTTACTGGTGAGAAGGTCAAGCTTAGCCTTGAGGCTGCAAAGGGTGGCAAGGAAGAAACCGTACGCTAAACTCACTAAATATTGTATGTATACGCTAACAAATTCTATAGATTGACGCAGACGTCGTACTCGTTGCTATTGGACGAAGACCATACACTGCAGGTCTCGGATTAGAGAACATCGGTCTCGAGACTGATGATAAGGGAAGATTGGTCATCGACTCGGAATACCGAACCAAGCTGCCTCACATCCGAGTTGTAGGTGACTGCACCTTCGGGCCTATGCTTGCCCACAAGGCCGAGGAAGAGGCCGTTGCGGTCGTTGAGTACATCAAGAAGGGATACGGACACGTCAACTACGCAGCCATTCCATCTGTTATGTACACACATCCAGAAGTCGCATGGGTTGGCCAAAACGAACAGGAGCTCAAGGCTGCTGGCACCAAGTACAAGACCGGCACATTCCCATTTTCAGCAAACTCAAGAGCGAAGACCAATTTGGACACTGAAGGCATGGTAAAGATGCTTGCCGATGCTGAGACTGATAGAATCCTTGGTGTTCACATTATCGGACCAAATGCCGGAGAGATGATTGCAGAAGCTACATTGGCTATTGAATATGGCGCATCAAGTGAGGATATTGGACGCACGTGTCACGCACATCCAACTTTGGCAGAGGCATTTAAAGAGGCTGCTATGGCTACCTATGGCAAGGCTGTCCATTATTAGAAGAAGGCTAAAGGTGGCGGGGGCGTGATTTGATAATGAATGGCGCGATCATAAGCATGAGCATCAGCATGAGCATGAGACTGAAATCTGTGATTCGTGCAAATATGTTTATATAAATCGTGTGCAGTACTCATTGATAACCTATGAAACCGTATAATTTCTGAACAATCTTTGACTAACTCCTTCCTATCTGTGACCTTCGCTTCCTCTCATGGCCTCTTTCACAGACTTGAACAGAATGAGACTCAATAATGGTATAATCCGGAAACGACAACAAGCTAGGAGGTAAAACTCAAATCCGATATGCAAGCCGATTATTTTGTAACCCACATCTTCCGCCGTGATGCATTGCATCTCTCATATCTCTCACTCCCCCAAAACCACTAAGAGCACCCAGACTTCCGAGACCACCTACATTTCCCAAGCCACTCAATCCACCTGCCGCGCCTAAACATGTACCTGAACCAAGTAATCCGACATCTCTATAAGGACTTCGCCCGAGTCTAGTGGGAGACAGTTGGGCATAACTTCCTGTGTTATGTCTATGGGTCGTCCGTTAGCACAGTTGTTGTTGTTACCTTGTGTTCATCGGTAAATTATCAAACTTACAATTGCTGGGCAACAGGCTCCATATTCATACTTGAACATCTTCCATCACCCCTCGCATACCCTCTCGCGCTATTCGTGTAGGAGTTCAAACCACTGTCGCAATGCGGACATTCGCACGTGGTATAGTACATATCTTGGATCTGAGATTGTGAATAAGATTGAGATTGGAGTGAATAATATTGAGCTTCGATACAAGTACGGCAGTAATGAGCGCCAGTTCGTGGATCTTCTTCACAGGACTGGCAGTCGTTATGGATATGAGTAGAATTGTGGGAAGGATGGGTGCGTGGGATGATCAGGGAATGTGCGAGCGCAGTTTGGGGTCGACGTGGTGTTTGGAGGTGGATTGGGTCGACGTGGGGGTCTAATTGGCGGAAAACATTGGGATTGTGTTTGCGGAGGCAAGTAAGATTCATTGTGATAATGGTTGAAAACAAAAGGATGTTTTGAATTATTAGGGTGTAAAATTTGAAAGGGTTGTGAGGTTTGTAGGGCTGTAATAACGTTTATTGAAGGGTTACTGGATTCGAGAGAGAGAGATAGATATTCAGCGAGTTGTTTTATACTTGGGGGGAAGAAATACCCCCTCGCTGTGAAACGATAGTTTTTGCCCAACATAATGAGGCTTACACTCATGTGCAACCGGGAATATTAGGAGATAACAACGAAGAAAAGCCCTTATTGTAGTTTATGTGACGTTTTGATATACTCTTCTTAGGCAACAGGAGATTGCTGATAGGTATACTTGAAGTTACACAGAAGTTGAGGACATCAAGCAAACATAGTTTGTCCTATCGCCGTATGCAATGTCACTTCCGAACAAAAGAGCGATTGGTCTTCGGTGAAGCAATGATTGCCGGATTTGTCTAGAAGAGCCCCTGGAGAGGGGGATAGTGGCGGTCCCAAGCTCAATGGGAGATAGAAATGGCTTCTGGTCGCCTTAGAATGCAAAACTTCACCTCGGTGTACTAATGCGGGAAGAGTTGAACCCTAACCCACCAGCACAATCCCGAGGGGCAGTGTTTGTACCTGTATATTAATGAGATGATCATGGTGACTGCTGCATGTTTTCAACGAATAGCGACTGCTTAAGCAGTAGATAACATGTACACCCGAAACAGACATTACACCCGGAAAAGTGACAATATCGACATGTAAATTGTACTAGCTGATACACTAGAGTTCAGTCGAACATGTACTATTTCTAGAAACTTCTAAAACCATTCGATGTAGTATGAAGGTATTCAGCTCACTGCAAGGGTCACAATGAAGTCGCTCTCAGTGCCACTAAGGGTAGCACACGCAAGCAGGAGACTCAAAACCCAGCAAGAGAAAATCTGCATAAGGAACCAACCCATTATCGCAGACGAGGCATTTCCGTTAGACTTAAGGGAAACGTAGAACTTCATTTAAGATCGTCGCCGTTGCCATCACTATTGTCAATATCCCGTCGAGCCTTTTGTGAACCGGCTCTCTCCACGCTATAAGCTTGGCTTATGGAGACGATTGAAATTGTTTGCATCGATTCTCATGCCATAGGTTTACTCGTAATTGACCCACGGGTGATGGCTTCTCTAACCCACTTTATTGCAGATATATGGGTAAATGGGGTGACCAGGTATCTGCTCATCGAACTACCTTTTTATAGAGTACTTTTGGACCCTTGACGGTATCATTCATGTACAATCATATTCGTGAACGACCAGCAGGAACAGTATCAAGACTATCTTCAATTAGAGAGAATGCCACAAAGTATCAGGCCGAATGTGTAAATGGAAAGGTCAGATTGTTGGTCTAGTTGATGTTGATGTTGAGCCTTCATCAATTGGTAAGAAGTACAAAACGGGCTCGAGAAACGACATTTAGCCTGTCCCACAAAATTAGGGGTCAAGAATCCAAGCCCCGCCACTGGCTCAAGGGATTGGTACCATTAGTGACTAGACACCGCAAGTTCTTAACGATTACTACTAATAAAGATACATACTAGACTCTTAGACTTGGTACGATTAACTTTCTTCACAAAGTATAATCAATCTGAATCATCGAATGTTTATTCGACACAATCTTTTTTGAGCGTCAATTGATTGATTGCTTTTCGTACACTCACTACAGTTTTTCTGTTATTGTACTATCGGCTTCTGCTCATCTGTCCCACGAAACGATCACTTTACAATGTCTTCCTCAAAAACCGTGGCGGCCGCTTCTAAGGAGAAGATAATATCTCGCAGACAAGTCGAAGGTCTCATCGCAGATGGCAGGTCCATCATTATTGTTGATCAGGCCGTACTCAAAGTAGATGCTTGGATGAAATACCATCCGGGAGGAGATAAGGCCATTAAGCATATGGTAGGAAGGGATGCAACAGATGAAGTGAACGCGTGCGTAAAGTAACAATTACTCTTCCGAAATTATCCCAACTAATAGATTCTCTATAGTCTACACTCAGCAGAAACTAGAGCCCTTATGGGAAGGTATCAAATCGGTAAAATAGAAGGTCGTTGGAAGAACTTTGTCCCTCCAATACAATACGGAAAGTTTCGAAGCTACGTCGAAGGCATGTCCGACGATTCCGAAGAAGACGACAATGCTTGCGATGAAAAATCGAGCTCTGAAACCTCAAGACTCCCTTCACCTACATTCGATGAAGATTTCCCAGAAGTGCGCAGAAGAGGGTTGGCTAAAGAAGATCGTCCGGTATCCTCTGCCTCTTCCATCTCATCTGCGCCTGACCTGGACGACGGCATGTCTCATTTCGATGCATTGACTCGAGAACAAATCGATCTAGACCATGCAAAATATCCTTCTTTGGATCCGGATACTCAAGAAGAGATTGTTCAGAAGTACCGTCTGTTGGATCAACGGATGCGTGCAGAAGGCCTGTACGACTGCAATTACACTGCATACGCAATTGAATGCTGCCGATATACTTTCTTTGCCACTATGGCATTCATGTGCTTGAAGTGGGGCTGGTATGGGACAAGTGGGCTGTTTCTTGGTTGTCTATGGCATCAATTAGTGTTCACGGTGCATGATGCAGGCCATATGGGTATCACCCACAACTTCACGATTGACTCGCTCATCGGCATTGGGCTTGCAGACTTCATTGGTGGTCTATCAATTGGATGGTGGAAACGTAACCACAACGTTCATCACATTGTGACAAACTCTCCCGAGCATGATCCAGACATTCAGCATATCCCCTTCTTCGCCGTTACCCATAGATTTTTGAGCTCTCTGACCTCAACTTACTATGAAAAATGCTTAGAATATGACGCATTCGCGAAATTTCTCCTTCCGTACCAATCATACTATTATTATGTAGTACTCTGCTTTGGTCGATTCAATCTCTACCGCTTGTCCTGGGAGTATCTTCTTCGGGGTCTTGGGCCAAAGAAAGGTCCCGCATGGTGGCAACGATGGCTAGAAATTGCCGGTCAAGTTTTCTTTTGGACTTGGTTTGGTTATGGAGTAGTCTATAGAAGTATTCCTACAAATGGTGCCCGAGTTGCATTTGTCTTGATCAGCCATGTGGTCACTATGCCAGTTCATGCTCAGATAACTCTTTCACATTTCTCCATGAGCACGTCTGAACTTGGGCCTCATGAGTCCTTTCCACAGAAGATGCTACGCACGACTATGGATATTGACTGCCCACAATGGCTCGACTTCTTTCACGGAGGTCTCCAGTTTCAGGCTATTCATCACCTTTTCCCTAGGATGCCTAGACACAATCTTCGCCGCGCCCAGAAGCTAGTGTTAGAATTCTGCAATGAAGTAGGCATCCCCTATGCGCTCTATGGGTTTGTAGACGGTAACAAGGATGTCATTGGTAGACTGGAAGAAGTCGGTAGGCAAGCTGCAATCCTGGCTAAATGTCAGAAGAGCATAGTAGAGAAGGGCGATATTCTTCATGGGCACTAGATAAGATAAGTCGCAGAACGGCTGCAATACATTATTTTTCACTGCAATATATGACTCGTCTGATCACACGGAGCTGTGGGTTGACACCGCTTTTCTATGCATTGATATATCGTTTGGAACTGTAGAATCCCGTCTCTGATATCACAACCAGTCATTGTCTAACGTTTCGCGAAGGACCCTGCATACTGCAAGCGATTGAAGACGCAGCGTCCAATACCATTCCATTATAATCTTCCGGGATATCACTCTCCTCCAGAACATTTATATTAGGCCCATTTTATGATTAATTATCGACATATCCAAAATTCAGACACTCGGCCCGAATCCTTAATACAGGATTATGCAGTGACAATTGACTCGGGTCATCTGAGAATTCTTCCAGTATACGGAAAGGTACTTGAGGGTGCGGGCGGGAATGAGCCCGACATGATGGACTGGAACCTAACCCTATGGTTGGTGATCTCTTGCCCATATTCGCGACAATTGGGGACAGTGAAGCTGCTTCCTGCGCACACACCCGTCGAAGTGTTGTATGCCAAGTGCAGGTCATTGAAGGAAGCGAACGAATGGGATTGTAGCTGATATGTTACAGCATCAGGCTCGCGCAAAAGTTGCCAGTTGTGGCATATTTATGTGATTAAAGGCTGCGACAAAGAGTAGACGGACAAGCGGATGAGAAGTATTGAGACGCGCTGCATTGGGATTTTAAAATTCATACAAAGCTTCCAACTCACTCTATAAGACTCTATCTACAATTTCAAGCGAAATCTACATATAACTTCGATGCCCCATCCCTTCGTTAAGACCAAACCTCTCAGTTCTTTGAAACTACACTATACTGTGGAACACCTCTTCAAATCAGCCTACTACCAACTGCATATTGTTGAAGTTCATCACCTTCCTTAAACACAAGGATGGGAAACCGCCATATGACCTCCGAGGCTGCTGCACGTATTGCAAAGTCACATCCTGGAGTAAGTTTACTTGTGTAAACCACGCTAGAACCACAATACTAAACGTTAGTCCAGTCAGGATTTGCGAGAAGATCTGCTCGAGCAGGTCACAGTAATAGCGAACGCGACGCTGAATCTCAATCTGCACGAAACGGCGAGATGCAAGCTCGGAATGGGGAAGGTGAAGCATCGAGCGGTAATCAAAATACGAAGGCAGATCAAATCTTTGTACAAGACGGACAAGAGCAAGGTACTGGAGAAGAACGATGCCCATATTGCACCTCGGAAGCCCTTTGCGCCCGTCATGCAAGCAAGTGGGGCTGGTGTTAGGAGGCGAATGTTAAATATTGCCCGGTTCACTTCCGAGTTATATCAAACGCTTTGAATTGGATTGTTTGCCCATGGTGCTGTGGTTGTTTTCTCTTCGTACGACGGATCGTCCTCATCTCAAAACACGTTTCGTCGTTGGGATCCCAGATTCGCTGCTGAATGGATAATTGATAGGATATATGGGAATTGGCATCTCAATATCCATGCTAAAGTAGCTCAGCTGTTGTGATTCGCAATCTTGAGCACAATGGGGAATGCAGAGGCAAACAACATAACTTGGCCCCTTCAAGTTTGTATCAACTCTTGATACTTGTGATGATCATACATGCACAGACTGCCTAATGAAGCCAACAAGCTTCCTATAACAAAGAGTATCCTTGCCGGTGTACCACAGCACCTTCGAAACTTGGCCAAACTGAAGAATCTAACGGTCGAGGCTGTGATGAAGTTGACTCCTCCGCAAGAAGGCAACAGATCGAGATGGATAATTCAATATCTGCTTTCAATTGAGCCTATGGACCAATCAAGATTATAAATCCAATCAGATACTAAAGCTATTCATTCTTGCATATATTCTGAATCCTTCTACGTCGCGGCGGATGACTTCAATTCTCATTGACTTAATTAGTATCAGGTACTCACGTGTAAGCTTTGACCATTTATATATGCGCTTCGGGCCGTCTTGACTGGGCCCTGATTTCGTATAGTATCCCTCCATAGTACTTACATAATCCGATAACAACCATGCCATGAATTATGAAGCAATTCAAAGGTTGAGTCGACGGCTCTCTTAGTCTCCACGAATGTCTTCCTACATAGGTACTCAACTTGAGGAAAAAGCTGTATGTGTACATTGTATGCGGAGGAGATATTTTTGAGAATACCTTGATTGAATTTTATTGTTATTATTAATTTCGAAAATGGTCGATTGTCGTATAATAATACTGTTTGTCCTATATTTAAAGGCACACATTCTGATTGGGTAGAGCCTTCTATTCTATTGAAGATCACAGATTCCTCCGTCATCAAGCTTTCCTGCCTCGTCGATAACTTGAGATCCACATCCACAGCCTCTCAGGCAAACAACGAATCTCTTCACACTACAAATCCTTCACTTGCAATACGATTCAACATACACTCATCAATCACCACTACTGATAATAATAGATTAGCACATCTCACCGCCTTGAAATACATTCTGTGTTCTGTTCAGCATTCATCTCCTTCGTGAACACAACTCACGGTGCACCCACCATTCACTCATGTGATATCCCCGTTACAGCTAGCTATCCACAGATCTACCCACTTTCTTCGCCATTCTGCTTTGCTTTTGCTTTGCGATATGAGAAGGAGATATTGAGAGAGGGTGTCATCGGAGCAAATTCTTCTCAGGTAACATGAACTTTTAACCTCACCAGTAACTCAAGATGGATCAAAGTATACAACGTGCTCTGAATGATAAGCTTTACGACAAACGGAAAGTCGGCGCCTTAGAGTAAGTTTGATGAGTACCCTACATGTAATAATGTATTAACGGATATCCACAGTCTTGAACGGGTCATTCGTGATCTTACAGCAGCCAAGGAGTTTGATAAAATCAAAAAGATCATCCAGCAACTGTGTAACGATTATGCTTACGCTGTCCACCAGCCGCATGCCAGGAATGGCGGTCTCATTGGTCTCGCTGCTGCTGCTATTGCTTTAGGCCCGGTATGATACAGAGGTGTGTTGGAATTACATGTATCAAGCTGATATTTTTGATAGGACCTCGCAAGATACCTCGACGAAATTGTTCCACCAGTCCTCGCCTGCTTCACAGATCAAGATGCTCGAGTAAGGTATTATGCGTGCGAAAGTATGTACAATATTGCCAAGGTCGCAAAGGGTGAAGTTTTACCTTATTTTAATGATATATTCGACGCTTTATGCAAGGCAAGTCAAACCCAGAATCCGTCAGAAGTATTTTCGAACTAATGGCCGAACAGCTAGGAGCGGACTCAGAACTCTCTGTCAAAAATGGTGCAGAGCTTCTGGATCGTCTGATAAAGGACATAGTATCTGAATCTGCAGCTACCTACGTATCGATTCTTCATACTTCTGATGATTCCATGTCCGATTCTAATAAAGAAACCCTTGAGGATTCCGATGATCTTCCTACAGCCTTCTCCCTGGCTCGCTTCATACCTTTATTAAAAGAACGGATTTACGTGATAAATCCATTCACGCGCACCTTTCTCGTGGGATGGATAACTTTATTAGATTCTATTCCAGATTTAGAACTTGTTTCTTTCCTCCCTGAATTTCTCGGTGGGCTGTTCAAGTTCTTGAGCGATCCAAATCGTGATGTTCACGTGGCTACTCAAGGTGCAATTGAGAGATTTCTTAGTGAAATAAAGCGGATTTCACGCATTAAGAAAGGTATAGAAGAAAGCCGAAAATCGCGCAGCGACACGAAACGAAAACGATCGGGTTCTATGGACAGCGAAGGATCGACGGCACCAGATCTAGGTGGAGAGGACGACTCAGGTATGGATGTAGATGACAAAGACATCAGTAGTGACGACGACTGGGTTCCTGGTCAAGATGTTCACGTAAATCATAAAGAAATTCTTGTTATCCTTACGGCGAATCTGGACACTCCATTGGGTAAGGATAACGTATTTAAATCTTTGACCCAACCAGCTAACATCAGATAGAAGAGGATAGCTTACTTGAATCGCTAAGATGGATTGTTGAATTCCTAGATATCTGCCCTGAAGAAGTCCTTCCATTTGCCCCAAAGATATTGGCACATTTACTTCCAGCTATGGCTAGTGGAGTAGATACCATTCGACAAGCTGCTGCCCGTGTCAACACATCCTTGATGGCTTATGTTGTGTCACTATCGGATGAAGGTGGTGCTACTTCCGAGGCACCTTCCTCAGCCCCTTCAAGATTTCTCGCCATGAAAGAATCAAATCCCACCGAACGAAGAGATTCTTCCGCTACAAATCGTGGCTCCTTGTCCGGGTCTCGTGAGCTTGATAAGAGAGATATAGAAGTACAGACACCCCCACCTCCCTCTAGCAAAGCGCAAACACCTACGCCGCCATACCAGGCACATGTAGATCTCGATTATGCTGCAGCGGTCAGCTCATTAACGTTACTATTTCTTAATGATCACGAAGTAACCAGAGTTGAAGCTCTAAATTGGTTACTTATGCTACACAGGAAAGCACCTAAAAAGCTGCTTGCATTTAACGATGGAATATTTCCTGCTCTTCTCAAAACGCTCTCTGATCCATCGGAAGCCGTTGTGACTAAGGATCTCCAACTACTATCTCAGATCTCGAGAAACAGCGATGATGACTATTTCACTTCTTTCATGGTAAACTTACTTCAACTATTTTCCACTGACAGGAAGCTCCTCGAGACTCGAGGAAACTTGATCATTCGACAATTATGTATTAATCTTAGCGCAGAAAGAATCTACAGAACACTTGCGGATTGCATAGAGAAGGAAGAAGATGTTGAATTTGCAAGCATTATGGTACAGAACCTTAATAATAATCTCATCACTGCACCGGAATTAGCAGATCTTAGAAAAAGACTTCGAAATATTGAGAACAAGGTCCGTGATATCCATAGAACAACGAAAATTCATCTGCTAATAGCTGCATAGGACGGACAAGCTTTCTTCGTCGCTCTCTTCAGGTCTTGGTGCTACAATGCTGTAGCTACCTTCTCACTTTGTCTTTTAGGTCAAGCTTATGAGCAAGCATATAATCTTCTTCAGATATTGTATGCATGAGCAGTCCGCAATCGAAATAATACTAATATCAATAGTGCCGAACTCGAGATGACAGTCAACATGCTTATCCAAATCGATAAACTTGTGCAATTGCTAGAATCACCTGTCTTCACATGTAAGGTGGCTATCTCAAACCACAAATATTGCTAATCGCCCTTTCCAGATCTTCGCCTCCAATTACTAGAGCCCGAAAAATATCCTCATCTTTACAAGTGTCTTTACGGCCTTCTTATGCTGCTTCCACAATCCTCGGCCTTTGCAGCATTGAAGAATAGGTTAAATAGTGTGAGCGCAATAGGCTACCTACACATAGCACCTCGAGCGTACGTACCTTCTTCATCTCGTAATAACAGTGTAGTGGACGCGTTTTCTACCCTTGCTCTCCATCAACGTCAAAAGAGTGGCACAGAAACTCATAGTTCTTCTCCTTCATTTAGCGTTCAGACGACTGCAGGACCGTCAAATTATGACAGGAGTAGCAGATTGAAAGGCAGGGAGGAAAGTGGTATCAGGTGGGGAGAATTACTTGACAAATTTAGAATTGTACAAGAGAGGGCGAGACGGGCGAGAAGGCCTGGTGGGGATATGGATGATGGATTGAGCGGCTTTGAGTCGAGGATGGAGAGTGGTGAGAGTAGGGGTTTCAAAGATTCGACGAGGTTATCTGCACCGTCTCCAGTATCTAAAGATGCGCCAAGTGGAATTCCATCCGGACCACAACATACGAAATCGAGGAGTAGCCTAGGCAAGTTTGGCAGATTGGGAGGAGCGGTTGCAGGGGGTAGACCAAGGAAGTGACTATAGGATAGATGATCAAGCGAAGAACATACACATACTTATACAGGAAAGTTTGGTATTTTGATACAATGGGTATAATATGATGCGTTGTTTTCTGTTTTCATGGGTTCTCTCTATCTTGTAATCACCATCTGCTCTCAAATACAGTTCCCTCGCTATTGAAGATTTCGATCACCCCTAGTATAAAGTCATGAGCTGTGACCATCTTATCATCACGCAATACATTAGTCTTGTTACGTCTACAATCTCTTTCTGCCACTTATCTCTGAAAGTTTCGTCAGTGCCTCGATTGGTCCCAAGATGAGCGATATTGACAAGGACGTGAAATATTCAGTTGCTAGTACCATGCATGAAAACATCAGTCTGTAACAGCTTTAGAAATTTTGCCTTGCTTACCCAAACGTCAAAAACTCCTGGCCAATAGTGTTCCGGAGTTCGCGTAACACTGTCTTGCCTGGTATACGAGCGATTTTGTCGTGTAGTTTTCCATTGTCTGTCAGGGTCACATTTTTCAGCAAGACACTAACTAGTAGATGCGATTTAGCTCACTTCTATTATAGATGTTTAGATGGATGGCCTGAGGCCCTGGATATGAGTTGTGGTTATTGACATCCAGGAAAAAGATGTTCAAGGAGGCTCTTAGGGGGGGTCTCTACCAACATTATAGTTCTACAACTCAACGAGCTTTTCAGAAGCCGACTTGTGATGGAGCACATCTCGTTTTCTTCGGAATTGATACCGTGTAAGCAACTTCAAATGGTCTTGCTAATGCATATTGTGTAATGCTATTGCTAGATTTTCTCGCTGACTTGAATAATGTATTCAGGTGTCTAGTAGGTTGTCAATAATGCGATTGATCTGTGCTCAGTCACTTCTCCTTCATCACGCCTCTTACGAGGGAGGGAAGTCGTGAGCTGTAGACATTCATGATAGCATACAAAGCTAATCGGATATGTTCATAGATTTTCAACAAGTCATCTATGTATCTTTATTTCAGCGCTGACCAGTAGATTTTGAACATGCTTTCGTACCCGAAACTACCCATGTCGAATCCTCCTGTATGCATTTCTCTTCACCAACCATTGGCTGCTCCGTTCAACACACGATCGATTCTGTAGGAACTGTGAAAATGTAGATAAGAAAAATTGCCTTTCAGGTTTGAATACACAAGTCCGCGTTGGAGAGGTACCTGAAAGCTTGTAGGAGTTGTACAGGATTAGAAATATAAGCTTGAAAGTAGGAACGATAAGCGAGGTTCCCAAGCGAAATTTACAAACAAAGAAAAAGTTCCCTAGGTCATTTATAACAAAGTTAAATTTTGAAATGTTAGGAAAAGTTGCCAGGTAATATTTCCGCAAAGTGTCAACCTACATATCTTTTTCTTGTATATTGTGTAGAGAAGCAGACTGGTTCCTCCAAGTAAAAGTGAAGACAGCCTATTCTAAAAGAAATTGCTGAGACACTCATCCACTCTTTGCTGTGGCCGCCAAAGAAAGAACCCCTGAATGATTCGAGTTCAGCAGAGTCAGACTGCCTCTCCATCTCCCACAGCTCCTTCGCACGGCGCTACTCGCTGAAACCATCTCATATTTTGCCACATACTCCCCAGAGAGCCCGCAGCTTCATTCTATGTATTTCCCGGCACTGCGCCCATTTGCCCTGTTTTGGTAACCCTCACTCCACCATAGACTCGTCATCAGATAGGAGGGCCCATCACATAGTTCTTGAGTCAAGAACTCAAGTGCGCTCCTCAGTGGCGTATCCTCAGTAAGTTACCCATTGGAATGATCTGATTTCCCAGTTTCTGGACCATATGCTTCACGATCTTTCGAAACAGATCGAGAACCAAAAACTATGGATACATGCACCATGACAGCCTACAACTTGTGCTTAGTATTTTCGTTTGAGGAATCGTTGCGCAAGGAATGTTTTGTTCATTTTATGAATGTGAGACATATTGGATACGTAGTTCAATCATCAACTTAGAACTCGAAGAGGCCTAAACATTAGGCTTCAGGATTTAGTAGATATACTTATCAGCCTCACTAGAACCATGACCTATGAGTTAAATGTAGCTCGTCGTAGCAAATCGCATAACGAAGGTACTTCTCGATGAATACTTTGAAGTCACGACAATATGGTCACCGAGACAACAAGCAATCGTCGCCGAGAATACAGGCTACATGTCACTCTTCAACTATGACACAGGGAAGCCGGAAAGTTTCATTGAAGCGGAAGGAGTGTATAAGGATTTGTATGATGTGTTAGTGGCGCGTATGGAAAGGTAAAACAAGATCGCCGAGTGATGGGAAAGAAGGCCACCCAAACAAGGTGGATGCGAAAATTTGAAAGTAAAATCACCAGGTCATAGAGCTGCTGCACGATTCACAGCATCAACTACCCAAAACCTTTATCGATATGTATTCAGGGTATCTATACATATATTTCCTCAGTCTAGTTTTTGCCCTCCCTTTATTTCGTCTCATCATGTGTTCTCTTGGTACCTTTGCCTGTGAAGTATGAAATTTTTAGCTTTCTATTCTCTTCTGAACAATGCTTGTTGTACCAAAAACAACGCAAACGCAAACGCAAACGCAAACTTCATTCAATCATAAAAACGCAAAGGTAAAACTCGGAACAATTCGCAAATTTGTTTCAACGCAGGGTGGGTAATCTAACTCTTAACCAAAAGACTGGATCCAGTCATCTCCTCGGGTTGCTTTAAGCCCATAACTTCCAAAATCGTAGGTGCAACATCACCTAGAACGCCTTCATCTGTTTGCTTGAGAGACCAGCCTTGAGGAGCGTTGGCCATAATGAATGGTACTTTGTTGGTTGTGTGCGAAGTCTTTGGTTTACCATCGGCAAACTTCATCTCTTCGGCGTTACTAAGACACGATTTTGTCAGTACGATTCGTAGGAAGAGAGCATTGTAACATGAAACAGAAGACTCACCCGTGATCAGAGGTGATGAAAAGGACATATCCCTCCTTTTTGCAAGTCTCGTAAATCTCGCCAATGGCCTTATCAGTAGCAGCAACACCAATCACTGCAGCTTCATAAACACCAGTGTGGCCAACCATATCGGGAGGTGCAAAGTTGTTCATAACGAACTCGAATTTTCCTTCGGAAATACGCTTGCTCATTTGCTTGGCGACACCTGCAGCACTCATTTCTGGGGCTTTATCGTAAGTAGCAACACTCTTATTTGATGGCACGAGATCTTGCGATTCATCTCTGACCTCAAGAGGGAATACCTTCTCGACACCTCCGTTGAAGAAGAATGTAACGTGAGCGTATTTCTCTGTCTCGGCGACATGAACCTGGTTAACACCTTGAGCACCGAGAGTCTCGGCCAAAACATTACCCATGTGTTGGGGCTTGAATGCGATTTCGAATGGGTAATCGAGCTTGTACTGGGTCATGGTAGTAAGAGTGATGTTCTTTGGGTAGGCGAAGTCTGGTTTTGGCGAACGGTCAACGTCACCAAGAAGTTGGGTGATTTCTCGGACACGATCGGATCGGTAGTTGAAGAAGAAAACTTGGTCGTTATCTAGGGTCATTAGTTTGGTTGATGGGGTTTTTAGAAATCTTGATCCATTTACCTTGGATACGAGCCTCCTTCCCTCCGAGAATAATAGGCTTCAAGAACTCATCATTCTCGCCTTTCTCATACCTTTCCTTAATTGTCTTGACTGGGTCACTGCTCTCCTCTCCTTCGCCGTTGCAAAGACCGCTCAATGCAACTTCGACTCTGTCCCATCTCTTGTCACGGTCCATGGCGTAGAATCTGCCCACCACTGTCGCGACCTCACCAATTCCAATCTCCTTGATATTCTCAAGAAGGGCCTCCATATAACCAGCGCCGGATTTTGGGTCGGTGTCACGTCCATCACCAAAGAAGTGAATGTAAACATGTGGAATTTCGAGCTCCTTTGCGACTTTGAGGAGGGCGTATAAGTGATCTTGCTTGGCGTGCTATTGTTACTCGAGTAAGTACTGTATTTGCCTGTCGATTGGACTAGGGGAGTACCTACAACGCCACCATCCGAGATCAAACCACAAAGGTGAAGGCGGCCATTACCATCCTTGGCTGCCTTGAATGCCTTCATGACAACTTCATTCTTGTTCAGCTCTCCCTTCTTGATTGTTTGATCAATTCTGACAACATCCTGCCATACAACTCTTCCGGCACCAATATTTAAATGTCCAACTTCCGAGTTACCCATGAGGCCTTCTGGAAGTCCAACTGCCAAGGAGGATGCCTCAAGCTTGGTATATCCGTCTGCGTTATTGGCGAAAGCATCCATTACTGGAGTCTCGGCGTTTGTGATTGCATCTCCATCTTTGGGTGAATTTTCACCTGGAACTCCCCACCCATCAATGACAACTGCGCCAAATCATTACAATTAGCCATGAGACTTCAAGATATACAAGTATATAAAATAGTGCAAGTATGTAATCTGGTCTTTTCTTTGTACGAGGTAAAGGGGGTAACAGTTTCTCAGTATTGAGCTGAACTGTTGGAATAGAGGTTCGAGGCATTGCGGGCAAGTCGCAGTATGTACACGCCAAATGGATAGAATGAATCAACAAAGTCCTTTGGGGCAATGGATAGATACATCAATAGATTGAGGATACGTGGAATCTTTTGACGTACTCAGGACAGCTTTATTCTCGACTTGGACCATTTTGGCGAAATGAAATGTTTCGAATCTAATAAATACAGGCTATATCAGCTCCAGCTTCGGTACCACCAAACAAAGAGCCTTAATGACCGAATCTCTTTCTAAGAGAATGAAAAGGGTATTGGGGACTTGATATCAACTTACAAGAGAAAGAACAAATCTGAATCTATCGATAAATTGGGTATGTACAATGAAGACTTGAAGGATTTTTGAATGACTTCAAAAGCAAACAAGTGAATTGTTGAGAAATAACTCCAAGAAGCTTTTCTGCGCTTGTGGTGGGGTGATGGATTTTAGGCCCCTCCAGTGCAAAGCCGTATTTGTGAAACCGCCGCGATAAGAGCGAACCTGCCTTGCTCTTCTTAGCTAGCACAAGGACTAATCGGACCTCTCCACATCCAATCAATAACACATACACATACGTCGGGATACATTTGAAGCTTTGAAGATACTTAAGAATCTTCGACTCGGGTCCAGCCATTAACATTCGTCAACGATACGAAAGCTTGTTCAGCTCCACGATCGTTGATTTAGTAAAAATGACGAGTACTCCATCGCAAGCCACACCTTCTCAAATCCCCCGACAATGATTCTCCCTGAGGGTCTCACCGCAGACTATATCGACACAATCCCCGTTCTTTGCGAAACAATTTCTCGTCTTCAAAACTTCTCTCCAAGCAATCCGTCCGCAGCTTCCCCACCGGGCGCGACTCCTTCGTTCAATGCAAACAGTACAGGGCCATTGAATATCAAAGATATTTATGCTGCGACCGATGGCATCAAACATAAATTACAAAAGGCGAGAGTGGGTGTAAAGAGCATGCCAGATATGCATAGGACTATTGAAGACCAGGAGGAGGAGATAAGAGAGTGCGAAGAGAAGATTGCACAGCAAAAAGAGGTGTTAAATTTGTTGATGAAAGTAGGATTGAATATCAAGAAAGAGCGAGAAGAGAGAGGATCAGGAGATAAAATGGAAACTTGAAAGAATGGATAGTATGCAAGAGGAAAAGAGACAAAACATAGGCGAACGTTAGTTACCCTTATGTCGAGGAACATGTATCATGAAGAATGAGGCTCAAAAGACCCAGTCGGGTGCTTAGCTCAATGGATCATAGAACACCTTGTGAGGTACGCTAGATTGAACCCCTTCAAGATTGAAGAGGTTATCTTGGAGCATCATCGTGGATAGAGGTTTTTGAATGGCGTGTCATTCTTTCAAGAGTCTTGCAATGAGTTGAGGCTCATGTAGAGCAACATGCACATCTCATTATTGAGCTGCAATGCTATCATGGATTACATACAATATCATGAATATGAAGTTACAAAAGAAACTTGTTATTGCTCAGCTATCCCATTACCTGAATGTTCATTGTATCTCCATTATTGGCCAATCTGCATCAAAAGACTATGTACTTCGAGAGAATTAATGGTAACTATCGTCCAGTAAGTCCAATCTTCTTCAGGATATCATCAAGTCCAACTCCGGGTCCTCCTGGTATGACATCTGTCCAAATTTCCTCTTCTAATCTCTCCTCTTCTGGTAAGATGCTCCAGTTCGGACTATGCTCTGCTTTAAGCCATTTGAAGTCATCAACCTGATCCCATTGATTCTTGATCGATTCATCTGTAACGTTCTAAACATCGTGTCAGTGTGTTGTAATGACCAAACCCTATGATAAAACTTACCTGCGAATTCGGAATAGGCGAGAACCTCACATTGCTACAGTCCTCAATGATGGGCCGGCTAGCACAATGCAGGTATATGTCAACATTTTTACAATCATGCATTCTGACTTGTCTTGACGTGACGACGATTATACTATTCTCGATGCCAGTAATATGTGCTGCCCCCGCAACATGCCCAGCTATGACTAAAGAATGCTTAATATTCTTCAAAGAAAGCCCAGCAAAAGGAGCACCATTGGCCGTTGGGACTGACATATCAACAATGCACCCATTAAGTTTTGTTATGGCACCAGATGAAGTTGCACGGGATGCTGAGGAAGGTAGGATGATGTGAAGACCAGTGTGACCTGTAATATTGATGGTGCTTGCTTCGGAGAAACTCGGCTTTCGAATTGGACCAGAGGCACTGGCCATTTCGGCATTGTAATTTTTTGAGAATGAAGGCAAATCTCCAACAGTATCTCTAGCACTTTCCTCGCCGGGTGGTGTCATCACATTAGCTGGCGTTGTGGCCAGTGATGATTCAGTAGAAGACAACATAGAAGCCTTTAGAGTAGCGCTAAGACTTTCCTGAGCTAGCTGAGCGGCATCATTAATAGAAACAGCGGAGCTGTTCTTGCTTGAAGTAAATCGGAATCTAGCTCTTGGTGCAGCCTTGGCTTTCACTTCTTGGAGGTTCTCCGAGAGACCTTTGATTGCCTGGTCATCATTAGTACAAGGTATGTATCATCACTCTTCCAGGAAATGCTTGCCTGCGAATAAGTTCTCTGATCATATGCTGGAAGGTAATCCGTAGCATCGGCTACTTCATTAGATAATCTTGTAATACTGGCAAGGCAGTGATCTGTAGCATCTTGTCTTTCTCCTCCAACTAAGGAGAGATTCCCAAGCTGGCTAATACGCTGTTGAAGGTCTGTCAGAAGGTTAGTATTTTCAATTCAATTAGTCAAGTGGTGATCAACTTCCCTGTAACTTCTTCTTGGAAATGTCGATAGAATCGTTCTTTCACATCCTGAGACGATTCTGTTGGTTGATTGAACGAAGCACGAACAGCGGGCATTGCCTTCTCCATTATATTAAAAGTTTTATTGTATAGAGAAAACTACTGTAATACTATATGACAGGTCTTCTCGCCGCAAGCAAACAAGATTTTCTGATGTTTTGATTTGCCACCGAAATTGGGTCAACTGATTTCACCAGTTGGTTGAAGGGGTGGAGGCAGATGACTCGATGTTTCTAGCACACCACTTTTCGGCTGATATCGAAGCCGTACAACCTTACAGTGATCTCAAAGTTTGTAGTGAAGGTATATGAGAGCTTGCGAATCGTGCTTGTTTTTTTTTTGATAAAGATAGAAGGTCTGCAAATTGGTAGGAAATACTGAGTCTATAAGTATGCTTCTCAAAAGGTCGATCAATGAGGGGATGGTTGAGGGCCACAGCATATTATTGCGGGGTTAAATAAATAGTTAATATTTGCCGGCAGTAGTTCAATAATTCATCACACACGTGATTACAGATCAGAAGGTAAGAGCTTATGAAGGCTGCCCTTGGTCAAGTTTCAAAATTGTGGCTAATTTAAGAATTATAATGAATTTGTGTGCACTCGAGTGTTGATAAAGCTTCTCGTTGTCGACGAATTTTTATCTTCGCCGATTGTGCTGCCTCCTGCAAAAAGTAAACTCTCGAAACTGCTCGCTCATGAATTGGGGCGTTGTGGATCCCCTCTCAATAGTTATGATGTTGAGCTGGACAGTATCATGAAGTTGCCATAAGCCCGTAAGCCTGGAAGGCAGGTCTTCATGTTTCAACGAGCTGTAACTCTAAAGTGATTTGCAAGCCCTAAACTTATGTACATCGTTGTTCGAGGCCCCCGGATTATGAATACAAGGCCCTTTAGGATCTAGCTGGTACTTCAATACCGTATCTTTCCTTGATTCTCTCCCTTCTTCTCTCATCATAACCTGGTCCGTATATGCCTTTAGGTGATTAGTTGGATGCCCTTCCAGATAAGTAGAAAAACATACCTCTTCCCTCTCCCAATTCCGCTACAGTCTGTTCAACAGGTATCCTTCGATTCTTCCTCAAAAATTCCTTGCGCTCAAATTCATCGACGTTTGGATCTCTCTTATATCCCGTTATGGCACCGCCGGTATAATCGAATGCACTAAGTACAACCGCCGCCAAAGTACCAAATCCAAGAACCGCAGGAGTTGTTCCGACTATTGATGAATTAGCATCAATTTACCGCTAAGAATTTGCATCAGAGCCCACATCTTAATCCTAGAACTGATCCTGCCAAGAATCCTCCAATTGCGGTATTGTAAGTATCGTTCTTTTCTCGCAAATTGGCAGATGCGTATTTTGTGAATTCATATGTTCCTCCCATCGCAGCTGAAAAAAGTCAACATGATGACGATCAGGGGATTCGATGCAATGGGCTTACTGAATACGAAAGCTGTGCCTCCTGTCCTGGTGAAGACACCCATCATGCCGATGTTCTTCTTGTGCAAACTATTTTGAATCGCGGAAGCAAAAGCACCAGCCGTTCCTGTAATCAGTGCGCCGTTGATGCCTGCTTTGAGGGCATCTTGGGGGTGGTATGCGTCACTATTCGGTGCCATGTTGAGACAAGACGGAACGTCAATGATGGAAGTTAAAAATCTAAGAAGTTGCTATGGCGTCGGTATGAGGTTGATAGATTCGGGGAATTTTGACGGAACATGCCGCTATAAACGCTGCTTGTGCTTACTAGCCGCCATCCAATTATTTCCGTCATCGCCATCATCTAAGCTCTCAAGCAACAAAAATGCGAGGCGGCAGACAATCCCATCAACCTTTACCCGTGCCTGTTTAGATGAGAAATACATACAAATAAATACATACTGAACCAACACATTTGATGAGAAATTGTACAAATATTTCTGTTTTCCTTTAAAATCACAAAACTTGGCGATGCTCGCGTTCCTATTCTTTTGTTGCTTGTGTTCCTCCTAGCCAAATCTGGAGAATCAATCACTCACCATTACACAATCACACAATCAAACAACCAAACAACCAAACTTACATTTAGTACCTGGGTTGGCACAAAGTTTTTACTCATCTTCAATCGTTTCTCTAAAGAAATTTGCTTCGAATGCAAGCCAATACATTGATCCTTCCAGCCTCAATATCAATTCACCTTTACAACCTTTCGAGAGGCGGGGTAGCTAAGCAGGTCCAGAATATTTCAGCTGGCCATAAATCACAAAGTATCGGCAGGCAGAGTGAGCGATAGATAATTATTGAGAGGTGCTATGTTTGACTACGAGAAGAAACCAGGACCAGGCAAGTTCTGCGACTTATATTCTTTTGAACTTGAGATAATTCAAAGCTCTCGAATATACTAGAACTTAGCTAATGATTCTGCCAATGTAGGGAAAACGGCCCCTAGGTTAGTGGAAGATCTACTTGACTACGATTTAAGAAAAAGCGCAAAGTCCGGCAAGCACACTCTCATAGAACCAGCGCCGATATACAATGAATCCAATATTGACCCAAGGCTCCATGCCACCAATTGTCACCATCAGCTTTATAGAAAGGATTCTCAAACGGATACTCTACGCCCACACGAGGAAGTAGATCCCACAACAATCCGCAAGATATCTGCGTACTGTTCCATTTGCCGATATCATTTTCGGATAACTGTAGATTTCCGAGGTTGGAAAGATGGACAAACTCCTTGTAGTCCTAAGGACCTCGAAAATCCACTCCATCACTTTCGAGTAGTTGAGACCAGATCTTCTCAGAACTCGAAAAAGATCTTTGAATTCGCTGCGCATGACTTTGCCTGTACTGCGGCTGCCTGTCCAGTCAAAGTTGTTATCAAAATAACACCACCTAGGCTCTCCGCTACCATGATAGCTCCCTTAATCAATGTCCAAGATACTTTGAGTCGTGGGCAGAGAATAATTGAAAAAGAACCCTTAAGATTCACAGGACACAGGCCCATATACCCATTTCAGGTTCTTAGTAACCTTTGTCAGTATCTAAGAGACGCAGGAGGATCGGATAGGAAGGCTATTGCAGCCAGAAATAAAAGGTTCAGATTAGCATTCGGAGACGATTGTGACGCTCTACTGGGTTATCTAGGATTCAAATCCGAGCTAAGGGCATCGTCTAATCTCCAGGTATGCATCTCACTGACATAATACAACTTATGGTTCAGAATTCAGCTTACAAAATCCCCTCTACAATTCATTCGCATCACTAACTTTCGATTCAGGAGGAATATGAAGGATTTTGGACTTTGCCCGTCGTCAATGATGGAAATCGCGAATTCATAGACGATGTCAGATTTGAGCTCAACCAGCTCATGCTTGATCGACCAGATATGGAGCTTAAGGAGCTTAAGTCTTCAAGTGAAAAGGCCTTTTCTCCCGCCTATGCTCTGGATGATATTAGACGATTACTTTCTTGCGATGACTATCCAAAGCGAGATGCTGTTCAAGTCTTAGATTCGTTGGAGCACCCTTATTATGCCAGTTTAGGCGCAATCGAGCTATTTACAGATGATTTGTTAGCCTGGAGCTATGATCGACAATGTCAATGCGATCCGGCGAACAAGCCATACTATTTGGACTGTTTGCGGGAGCTCGGCAACGGACGCCGCAGTTCCGATCTACAAACGAAGGCTACGATGATCATGTCTACCGGAGAAGTCAGCCTAAAAGATATCGAAAAAGCTTACTCGTTCTTCGCGCTACAGAGGAATATTACCAAATCTGAGGGCGATGATTTTTTTATCGGTGTTTACAAGTCTCGTATCGAAGCTGGACCGCGCCAAAAAGATGAGGCGCGCGAATGTCTGCGCGTGATAGCAAAGGATAGGCAGAGCATTGCCATTGAAGCCGTAGCGAATGACAGCACAATGACATTTGAAGAAGCTCTCGAGTTCCTAAGCGTGACTTCAGATACTGCATCTGATAGCATTGAAGCCGCTGCGGTTGCTATGGTATGTGTATAGTCTTGGATTAACAATCATTTAACGATTCCCAACTAACTCCAAGGTAGTCTTTTGAGGGTGATAAAGATAAAGTCGCAAAAGCGTTAAGAGCGATTGCTAACAGCCGCGGAGACGATTATACCTTGCAGCGTGCGGCTACATCCATGGAGTCCGGAATTGAAGATTCAAATCTTGACGTTGGTGAAGCTTACAATCGACTCCAAATCACCGATAGAAGGGCCCCAGATGATACTGTGTTGGCTTATTACGAAAGTCTCAGATCTGGTGCTCCTACTGGTTCATCTGATAGCTACAAGGAAGCATTTCGTGTAATAGCTCATGATCGTCAGAGCAGTTACTTATTGAGGAAACTTGATGATCCAAACGCCGACATTCAAGCAGAAAAGTCAACCGTTAATCAGCCAATTGGTCTAGATAATATCGGCAATACCTGCTATCTAAACAGTCTTCTGCAGTATTACTATACAGTAAAAGCCGTTCGAGAGGTAGCCCTGAACTTTGAACAAATTCGCATGCCTCTGAATGAAGAGGATATCAAGAAGAAGCGCGTTGGAGGACGCGCTGTCAGTAAGGCGGAAATCATCAAGGCCCAAAAATGTGAGTGTCAAATTCTTTGGACAAATAGCTTGGCTAATTATAATTAGTTGTAACGGAATTACACGGCCTGTTCGAGAATTTGAAGACTGCTTCAACGAGATCCATCAAGCCTACTAGAGAGTTGGCCGAATTAACTATATTCAGCTCAGCAGCTGAAGCAAATTTCCGTCGAGCTTCTATTAGTAGCCCAAGTGGTCCATCAAATATTGCTTCCATGATGAGCCCCATTTTGGGGCCGGAAGGTCCTCCGACAACTACTTTTCCTCCTCCAGCTTCAACTGATGAGGATATTGAGATGGTTGACCGACCTGAAGATAAAGACTCAAATCAGCGTGATGATAGTAGTGAAGGTACATTAGTAGAGGCACCAGACATGGATGGTTTACCTCCGTATTCTGATGTTGTAGGTAGACCGAGTCCCGCAGCAGACAAGGCCTGGGACAAATCAGAGGATGCCGATAGTACATTCGATGATGCTGTCATGGTCAATGGCGATTCGATAGTTCAAACTCCAGATGTCATACCAGCCGCGCCAGACAAGCCACCTCCGATCCCCCCAAGAAACAAAGCTGGCCTTTCGATAGAGACAAACGACCAGAAAGAAGTCATTACTGACGACGATCTATGGAAATTTGGATCTCAGCAAGATGTTACCGAGGTTATTGGAAACGTGATGTTTCGTTTACAGTGTGCTATAAAACCGACAAGCATCGATCCTGTGTCTGGTGAGCAAATCGATAAAATTAGAGACACATTTTATGGTGCAAATGCCTCTTATCTTCGAAAGTCGGAAAAGTTAGAGAAGAAAGTTGAACCATGGGCTAATCTCATTATTTTTCCGGATGAAAACAAAACTCGAGACATTTATGAAGCATTAGATGTGGTCTTCGACGAACAACAGGTACATATTGACGGCACTATTCAACCGCAATATGCATCTATTACCAAACTACCACCGATCTTACAAGTACAAATTCAACGTACACGTTACGATAATATCAAGCATACAGCTTATAAGAATCGAAACGCGGTGATATTTCCAGAGACGATATATCTTGATAGATATATGGATTCCGAAGATCCCGACTCTACTCTGATGCGTCGTCGTCAAGAAGCATGGAAATGGAAGGCACGTATCAATACTTTGGAAGAGCGACAAAGAGTCCTCGGCCAAGACAAAATAACAGAAGAAATATCTGTTTGTGATGCACTATCTGCAGCACAGAACTTTACTAGAGGCTTGCAGGAGATGGACGACATCGAAGTTGACGCAAACTTGGTCACATTGCTTGAAGAACGCCAAGCTGAATTAAACCAAGAAATTGAGAGAAACAACGAAGAAATCCAACTTCTCAAGCAAAGAAGAAATGAACAATTCACGAATATGACCAAATACGAATATAAGCTTCAAACTGTATTTATTCATCGTGGTGAAGCTGGTGGTGGTCATTATTGGATCTACATCTACGATTTCGAGAATGATATTTGGAGAGAATATAATGACGAATATGTGACGGAGGTGCGTGATCGTCGAAGAATCTTCGAACATGAAGCTGCTGGTGCAAGTGGCACTCCTTATTATCTCGGCTACGTACGAAGTTCGGATATGATCGATTTGGTGGGGGCAGTGCATAGAGAATTGAAAGAAATCGAAGTACCTGATTCTGCACCTGCAAAGTCGTGGGCAAAAGGTTTAGAGGATGGCATTGAGGTGCATCATGATGAGGACGTGGAAATGGGTGAACTTAACAATGGAGGGTTCATGAATCCGAAGCATATGCATAAGATTATGCCGAAACAAGATGTAGAGGACAAGACGGGTGCCGCTTCGCAGCTATCCTATGATAGTCACGGAAATGCTTGGTAGAAATTTCAGAAATGTGGGCAGGGGGTTGAATGGGTAGATGGATGATTGAATTGGGACTGTGATATAATGTCAGATAGCCTGGGAAGGGGAGCATACATGGAAAATAGGAGAGGCATTTTTTTTGATACTGGAGAATTTGCCTTTGGGTAGGTATG